CCCCAAAACCCCAAAACCCCAAAACCCCGAGAGATTTATTTGAAAATAAATAAAAGATAATAATAATAAATAAGTAGTTAATAAAAGAGCTTCATAAGATTTGAATTATAGCAATGGGAGGCAAAAAGAGAAAGGGAAAGAAGAAGGGCAAGAAAGAAGAGCCAGAGCCAGAGGATGACTTCATGAAGATGGATGGACAAACTTTGGAAAAGACTATGGCAGCACTAAAGGAAAAACTTTAAGATGCTAAGATCAAGAGAAATCTGATTCAAATTGAAAAAGACATGATCCATGATTTCTACCATAACACTAGGACGGAGATCAAGGAAACTGAATCTGAAGTCAAGAACTTTGACACTAAGATGCAAGAACTAGATGATGCTCATAGAGTTGAAATTAAAGTTTACATGCAAAAGGTTAAGCATTTGGAATACGAGCATTAAAACAGTAGTGACAGAGTTCAAGCTGAAGCTGCATTTTAGATGAAAGAAGAGAGAACCCATCACACTGATAACGAAAAAGATATGAGAAAGCAAAAAGGTGGTCAGAAAGAGGACTATGAAAGAGATGAAATGCAAAATATCGGTGAAATCGAGGATAAGGAGAAAGATTTGGATTAAAATCTCAAGGAGTTACAATATAGTCTAGACACCTCAAAGAAGTAATTGATTCAAAATTACGAATAAAAACTTGAACATCTCCGAGAAGAACTGGAGCTCCGTTTAAAGGTTGAGATCCACGAGATCGAAGAGCGAAAGAACTAGCACATCAATGAGCTAATGAAGCACCACGAGGATGCATTTAAGGAGATGAAGGAGTACTACAATGATATCACCCGTGAAAACCTTGAGTTAATTAAGATGCACAAGGAGAAGTTGGTAGATATCAGAGCTCAGATAGAAGCTAACCAAAAAACCGTAGACCATCTCAAGCAAAAGATGGAGGAGCTACAAAGACCTCTGGCCAAGGCACAATAGAACAGAGATCTTCTTAAGAAATAGCTAGCTACTTTCGATAAGGATAAAATGGCACTTAAGAATGCTAAGGCTCGCCTCTAGGTTCTTAAGAAAAAAGTCAAGGATATCAAGTAAGAAAGAAAAGAACTAGAGGAGAAATTCTTGAAGGTCGAGAGAGAGAAGGAAGATATGTACAGAAAGTTCGAAATCGCCATTCAGTAACTAAGGACTAGAGCCGATTACAAGAATCAACTGCTGGATGAGAAACTCAGAGTCCTTCAAAGCGAACTTGAAAGAAAGGAAGTTTAACTATAGGAGTTAGTACAGAGAAGTGGGCTTGACCAGAGAACCGTAGAAGAAATCTGCAAGAAAATGGAAGAGGCCATCGAAGCTAAAAATTCAATTCTAAGGAATCTAAAGTACTCACTGGCTCATGCTACCAAGGCCTATAACGACGCTATCAGAGTATACGAGGCAAAGCTGGTTGAATTCGGTATCCCAGCTGAAGAACTTGGACTTGAACTACTAGAAACAAATACCTCTAATATGCCAGCAGGTTTGGTTGCTGCTTGATATAATGATTAATTTTAACTATTAATGTTTAATTCTAATATTGAATCTTGGGGTTTTGGGGTTTTGGGGTTTTGGGG